GAAATGATTTCTCGAGAGGAGTAAATTAGAGTGGAAAGGTGAAGAGAATCGAAGAAGAAACTCGAAGGAGGATAAGGCTGTTGTGAAAACTCCAGTCTGGATTAGGGACTCTGTACTGAGGCCCTCTTCAGCGAACAGGTTTTGCTGGGGATCCCTATTAACGTGATTAAACTACACGTTATCCTTACAGTTATCGTAATCTAAACTTAAAATCCACATGATGAGAAGCTATCTGAGGACGTAGACTTCGCGAACACCTGTTCATTGCTACTTGACTGTGCTCCTCTTTCGAGTGAACCCTGTTCGTCAAAGGCGAGAGTAATTTGGTAATTTATCGCGGTGTGTATGACGGAAATGGTTGCACAAAACGAACGGTCCAGAGCTGAAGAGAATCAAAGGAGATAAAGCTTCGTGAAGGATTTTACGTTATGAAAGACAGCTAAGCTCTCTGGGCTTTGGATACTGATGCAGAGTATGAATGACCAGAATGGTCGGTTTCGTTCTTCGTGTTCATCTATGAGGTCTTTGAACTGATTCGCGTGACCCTTAAAATTCGTTGTAAATTGGCAGTTACAGACAATTGTACGACACTCATGGGAAGATTCTTTGAGATCTATGTACAATGGCTAAAGGCTGCTTCGTTTTTGAAAGAGCATCTGCCGGTTGAGAGTTAAGCCATTTGTACTAGATGTCGTAAAACGGTTGTTATGCAAAGCTTGTTGTAGCATATGCGTCTGGAGTGTGCCAAGATTACATGGCAAAAACTTGGCCTTCGATATTGAATATTTCCTATGGTTTTCAACTGTTGACATCTAATACAAGAGATTTTCTTGCGGAACGAATTGTCTGGTAGACGAAGCATTTGTAACCTTTTGAAATAGTCAATAGTATAACCAGATATAATTTCCTTTAACCTGAATTATTCATCTGGTATAAAACGTAGTCAAACAATTTGTTAACTTTTATACGATTTTCTCGACAAATATGAAATGTTTTGAAGTTCAGATTATTATAATTTAGGAAATTATAATCGAAGTCTAGTTTCAAATCTAGCAAACTGTTCAAATACGTTTCTCCTATATCCTTTGCTGTTTCGAAGAAGCTATTCAAACTTCTAAGTACATAGAGCTCTGACGAGTATATCTATTAACAGTTTAAATGGAGTCTGCTGCCACTAAAATATCTAGAATGTCATTGCCAACATTAAAACAGCTTCTAGGACATGGATCATATTCAAACGCTGGTCGCGTGAGCGGAATTTTAAAAACTAAAATTGAACCACGTGCATTGCACACATGTCTCAACTTGGTAAACGTTTCCAAACTTTACTGGCAAATTTTCGTTCGACAAAAGTGCCTGCAAGAATTCCTAATACCAAACGAGTATTTAAAAAGCCACGTTTTCAGAAATAACTGAGGAATTATTTTTATTCCAACATCAAAAATCGTTTGAGAAATATTCGTCTATCGATTCATACCCTGCTACTTTATACATCTTCCACATCTGCATCTGAAGACTATCCTATCGAAACAAAACTCGAATTACCCCTATTACTATCACTTCTCTCCACACAGCCTATTCAGTATTTAATGACACTTTCAATGCACGTACATCACGTTCACAATGAACGAGCAACGAGCAAGGAGCTGCAAGGCACGTAAACGAATCATTCCATTCCCAAGAACGTACTGATCCCAACGATCATGAAGAATCGTTCAACTAATCATCTAACCCATTAAACATCTAAATGATATTTCCAGTTATCTAATAATCGAGATAAACTCAGCTGATAAAACAAACGAAACTGAAAATGATGTGCCCTGAATGCCACGTTTAGTACCCACTAAACCTGCTTTTCTCACTCTCTTCGAGTCAAACGTCTCAACTGTTTACTGCTGTGAAAATTAGCGCGATGAAATTCAAAGGTTACAAGACGAAACACCATGGAAGATAGAGGAGGAACGTTACGACTCCGTAGCCATTTTTCCAAGAACGTTGGACGAAAGCGGACAAGCCGTTGGCACCTGTTAACGACGCGAAAGCCACAGGAGAGAAATGCAGTTGAACGGTGACGGACCGAAAATCGCGTGACGCCATTTCGCATTCCGCGGATAGCGAGTCCCCGCGGAAGAGGAGAGAGATTGATGACCGGACATCCGTTTATCTCGGCTGCGCGCGTACCCACGGCGGCCGGTTACGAAAGGAGAACTTATACCCGATGGAATGCACGGCGAGAAACCGGCTCTCCTCGTGCGAGAGAACGGCCAGCGGGAAGAACAAGATACGGAGGATGTTTTGCAGGCTTGAATGCGACCGTCTTCTACGCGGATTCGAGAAAACCTTGACGCGTTCTTTTGTCTTGCGCGATGGGATAGCAATGGAACCGATCGGAACAATTGTCATCGTTGACCTCTTGCATTACGATAGAGAATAGGCGCCTGTGCTCGGGGTCATTGGCACGCAGAAGCGTTCGCTTCTCTTGCGCGGCATCCATTTTTTCTGAGCTCCCTACGTGTTACGTATCGGCCACGTTAGAAATGGTACCAGTCGAAGACATGGCGAACGCGAGATTTCTCCATTGGCACTGGACTTGCAATAATCTCGATCGATTTGTTTTTTTATTAGAAATTGTGTCACCCAGCGAGAGTATATTGGCAGGAGAGAATGGCAGCAGATGGAGACACTGCGAAGATAGGATTTCTTGATTGACGCTAAACTTAGTACGATCCGAATGATCCGATTTTAACCTTTTTAGAAAAATTGTGTCACGTATTGACAGAAAATCGGAAGGAAGAAATGGTTCTTGAAGATATAGCGAGGATGGGATTTCTTGATTGACGCTAAACCTATAATCTGAATTATCTGTTTTTAAGTTTACATTGAAAAAACAATTATGTCACTTGACTCTTCGATGTATAATGTATCCGTAATGAATTTTTCGAAGCGTATCGAAGTTTTTATCTCGTTTTTCTGATACTCGTACGTAGCCTACATCGTCTCTCATAATTGTTTATTTGACGGGTCAACTGTCTAGTGATAACTTTTGCGTTGAGGAATGAGCGAAATAAAAATAATTAATTTGATAAGACCTATAAAGATAATTAATTTAATTTATCCCATGTTTGTATTTATGTTGTTATGAGATTTTTTTGAAATTTAATAACAGGTATTTTTCGATACGGTAAATTTTCTATTTTGGTTTTTATCGGGTTAGAAATACTGATATTAAGCAGGAAATATAGCGGTTAATTAACGTTCGCAAGCATCTAATACTTCATACGTAGATGCTAAAAATAACCTAAGAATTCTCGTAGAATTTAATACTGATGGAATTAGGATGTTCTAGGTTAAACGTGGCCTTAGAACAACAGATCATACTACTCTAAATAATTAATAATCGCGAAAGAATGTATTTTTAAAAACTATATGATACACGTTTATAGTAATAAATAATAGCCACAAGGATTCATTTACATATTTAATGCAAATTGTATTGGCAAAATTTCATGTTAATTGCTTTTTGAATTTATTTGACGTCTAACTGTAATCTTTTTACGTAGTATTTTTTGTTATTCCAAAGGAGATGCATGAATAACGAATGATTCATCATGCAACGAAAAGATTCCTTGCGCGATTAAAATTTCTACGTCAAATAAAATCTTGTCGGAAACGTCTTTTCGCGAAGTATCTACGATAATTCTATTTTTAGAAGCGAAATACTAAGACACGATGATTTTCTCCTAATCTATTTCGCGAAAAACCGTTGACAATCGTCTTGTTTGAAAATTCCAAGAATCGGATCAAACCCATCGCTATATGCAGCTAAGGTAAGGCCAGGCGCACGCCCATCCAGTCGACCAATCAGCGACTGCGACGTCATCTCGTACGATGTAACGGAGAGACTCACCCACGTGGTAAGCATCGTGTTATTTTAGTATCGCACCACGAGAAAATCTACCGATTGCACGCTCTTGTTCTAGAACGATCATTCTAGAAATTCACGATGAACCCTTTATACGATCGCGATAATGACTGTCCCATTTTCAAAAAGAGATCGATTATTTTTCTTTTCGTTTTTACATCAGTTCCGATCACATTTCGCAGGACCAACGGAGGTAATGAAACGCGTGCGCATCGCGTCTGCGCATAGCAACATATGGCGTGGTTTTCAATTCGTTGCAACTGTATCCCAAGGCTCGTTTAATTGATCAATTAAACATTGGAGAAAAAAATAATACGCATCGTATAATCTCCAGCGAGTTTTCCCTTTGCTAATGTCTTTCGTGGATTATAATAACTCTTATAAAGGTAGTCGATGATTTTAATAACGCTGGCATGTGGTGAATGAGCTACTTCGATCTCGTTGCGACGAATAATAAAATTGAATTCGATGTCGAAATCGTAAATTGGACTATTTACGTAGCTGATAACTTGCGCACCAGATGGGACTGATTGAATGAAATCAAGGACACAGCGAATGCTGTGTAGGTCAGTTAATCGTTCAGCCATCCAGGCGCCATGCTACGTGTAAACAGATTTACGAATTCACGAAGACGCAGTAGCTCTCACACAACGCACGAGTGGCTATTAAAATCATACCCGCAAAACAAGCTAGGAATAGAGCGAAAATACCTAAAGATAGAACACTAACGCTACCTCCAATGTCCCCGTCTACCGTGTCGAATGAGCACACTCGAGATTCAAATTTTAACCTCTACGATATTCGCACCGATACGACGAAAATTGTGCCGCCATCGCTTTCAACACGCCACGCTACGTCGACCGTTACGGAACGTCAAATTCTTCAAACATAAATACACACACCTTTCCCTTGGAATACCACCGATACATTCGATACCACGAATAGAGTTCGACCACACGGTTCAAGTCTTTGTTGATCAAAACTCAAATAACCTTGATATCCTCGAGACGACACAAGGATCGAACACGAGTTCGAACGAAAGAAGAACGCGCACGAACGATACGTAAAAATTACTTACACGAGTAGAACGTAGTGACGAGCAGGGCAAGCCAGGACAGCTGTTTCTCCATAAGATTTCTCATTTCTAGATTCCCTCGACGTTTATTTCACAGATTCGAGTCACTGAGGCAAAAGTCGCGATATAAAACGCGAAAAGAATTGATTGGCACACGAGCAAATGTTTTTGAAACGCTAACGCATGTCGTTCCCGAACGACCGTGTTTCCTCGAAAGGAGCGTAGAAAGCAAAGAACGCGTCACACGCACGTCGTTCAGTTTCTCTGGCACGGTAAGCGTTATTCTCGACTCGCGAAGACTAGTCAATATATACGCCCCTATTGTAAGATCCGTACCTCGCGACCGGCTGTGCACGACTGACTCATGGGAATGTATTTTGGCGGCACGAAGCTTTAATGGCGTGCGCCAACTGCGCATGCGCGCAACGCTCACGCCACCGGACTCGTTTGGTGGGGCATGGAGATTGCTTCTTTCTCTTTCGCTACGACTCTCCGATGTTTTCTCCGTTACGCTGTTTTGCCGAACTATGTTGATGCCGGTATCGTTACAGCTTTCGTTTCAAGCAATGTGCAAGATCATTAATTGAAAGCCTTCCCGGAACGATGGCAGTACAAGACCTTGTATTCCCTCGAGAATGGAATTTAATTAAGAACATGCTTTTATTGTCGATGGACAATAGTGACGGATAATTAGCGGATTTCGGTGGAATACCGACACGCCTGGTTGTTCGCGAATGCAACGGCTGTCCCTGATCGTGATAATACGATGCTCCACATGAAATGTTACGATGATGGGTATCAATCTTGATAAAATTTCAAGTACGTTTAATTTGAATTGAGTGCGTGAAACTAATACTTCGGTAACCAACCATATTGTTCCCCGAATATTTTGAAAATTATCGACATATTAATTAATTTATTACATTGTACTCGTGTGCAGTTATTATATGATATAAATATTAACTCAATAAGTAGCTTATAAGCTTAATATACAGTAATTCCATCAATAATTGTTGAAATAATCGTGCAATATTTATACTTTAAACTCTTCATACTATTATTGTCTTTTGAAAGAGATTTTTATTAAACACTAAGAAAGAAAAAAAAATGACATAAAAAATAATTAATATTCCATCCATACTTAAAATGAAGACCTTCACATATTGCACGATTATTATTATTAAAAATAAATAAAACACAAAATCTAATTGTTTTTAATATCGAACAATCGTAGCATGTTCAATAATTGAATTATATGTACACAGTGTAAGTAAATAATGATTTAAATGAAATCATAAAATAAAATATTGCTCGATATAACAACTTTTCCCTATCTTAATTTACTCAAATTAATGCAACAGAAAATCTTCAATATTCAAAGAATGGAATATCCTATTATAGTAGACTGATGGGTAATTACAAAGATCAGTCTGTATTTTAATTTATTTCGAAAAATTTAAATTTCAGAGTTCAAATTCGCGTTTTCCAAAAATTTAATCGTATTTCATATTCTGTTTCTCCTTGTACTGTCACCTGTAAGATTCCAATCTTGTTCCTATACTCACTTCATGTAACAATTTAACAATCTTAATAGCTTCATCTATATAAGATAAGTAAATATTTCGCAAATTATTTGATATTAGATTATAATCGTCTATCGAAGACAATGCGATGACGTTAAGGCCGATTATCAATCCCATCGATCGCATTAACAATTAATTACGAATCACCTGATCTTTGTGGTACTTCGAAATATTTTGGCACGGAATTTAAGACGACATATGCAAACATATACACGCACGAAACCACGAGACGAATCGAAGCACAATGACAAATACGTTATTCGAACCGATACGACGAATAGAAATTCCTAACAGTGACGGGATAAGAGGATTTTCCCTATAAGTAGATTATGTTTGTCACGGAAATGAGAGTACGTTGTACTAACTCTCACGCAACAGTTCATACAGAATGTTGTAAAAAATCCATTTCAGTTTTTATTAAAAGTTATGATTACCTCTTTCGCGTGGAAAAAATATAAATGAATGAATTTTTTCAGCGACATGGAAAAACTTACTCGCTAGAAAAAATGAGTAAACTATGAAAAAGAAGACAGTTGCTGGCTTAAAGAATTTTTTATATCCGCGATATGCATTTTAAATATTAAAATTTGATGTTAAGATTAAAATAGAAAAAAGGTGAATATGTAAAAAGTTTTAAAAAATTTGCTTTTTCCGAGATTTCTCGGTTATGCAACAGCTTTTATTATTCAATTCTGTACCTTCGATATTTCAATATTTTTTTATTTTATAATTTACGAGCTGTACGTAATAATTATGTGACGGTAGGAACTATCCGATGATGAGATCACGAAATATCCAGGTCTCTTTCGTTTGTACTTTTCACGGCATGGTCGACAAAGAGCCGGAAAATTTACGTTTTTCAGGAAGGAAAATAAACCCGCGCGATCCTTTGTTCAAAAAATAACATAATGAACGATGAGCAGAAACACGGTACGAAAAATACGTACTTCAAAAATGTTGTTACGTTACTCTCACTTTTTATTTACCAAACCACGTTATACGATCCTCATTAACATAAGAGCCTCCATTGTCCTCTCCCTCACGCACTTTCCACAATTTTTATCAGACAAACAAACTGTCTACCAATTTTTCAATGAAACCCTTTCATTAAGTAACATCGAAATATTCCATAATAATTCCAAGATATTTTAATAAAACAAAATTCTACGAAATATCAATCCACTTTATGATAAATGTTTGAACCAATTATTTCGATTCGTTTAGAAAATAATACGTCCTCGTTACAGGTTAGGAAGTATTGTTACAAAAAGAAAAAAGGAAATGTTAACTCTCTATCCATGATTCAAACATACGCTTGACGAGGTTTAGACTTTGGAAAGAACAAGAAAGCTTTGTAAATAACAGTGCAAATTGTGAACCGATGGAAGAAACGAAGGAATCTGATTTTAATCTGGAACGTAATTACTGACACTATTGACAAGCGAATTAAATCGGCCACTCTGTATGCCAGTACCGTACGTCCAGTCGTCAAGTGACGAGTATTCGACGTGATGAAAGCTCCTTGGAAATTATTAAACGCCTCCAATGATTATTTCCCCTTTCAGCCACTGCCTGTATCAATTGTTGGAAATAATTCAGACTACTCGGGCAGACGTGTACATGGAATTGTAAACGCATAAAGAATGGTCGTGGAGTAATAAATCGAAGCATAGAGTGCTAGGCTTTTGTGTCGACAACGATAATGCAAAACCGGGTTTACTAAAATGCTAGAAAATTTTATTGCTCTTTTTGTTCGCCGAGATTTCTGTTGCAAGCGTTAGAAGACTCGCTTCGAATTTTGTTCAATGATTTAATTCGATAATTAATTATTGAAAAAAGTTAATAATTAATTCTCACCTCATATATTATTTTAATCGTCGAGGTTTCTGTTAAAAATGTTACAGGAAATTTAGGAATTTTACGAAAAAGAATATTATGATGTTAATAGACATATAATCTGAAAATATCTCACTGTACAAGATATATATTTTTATTATATAATTAAATACAACTATGTTAAAAAATATATTAAATTTAACGGATTTAAATAAAAACTCTGAAATGAATGAAAACATTTAAATAAAAAGCGAAAAGTGTAACTCGAAAGACAGAATTACAAAGTAAGCTGCCACTTAAAACTTGGGAAATATTAAATTTTCATAATTACAAACGCTGCAGCAAGTGAATTTTATTATTCCTTAAAAATTCACAATTCGCCATTATTTCTTCACGTCATACGTATATTACCATTTCCTCCACACTACATTTTTAAAATAACAAAAATAAATAAACCTTTCTTTGAAAAGCTAGGCAAAGGTGATTCTGCCCCTTTGGCCGTTCCACCTGTGTGCGGCGTTCCGTGTGCACCCTTAATTGAGCATAGAAATGCCCGTGGATACACGATGAACCCACTTCGCTCGTACGTTCGCGTTCCCATGAAACTTCAACGTTCACTGTTTTTCTAGTTCGTCGAATTTGCATTATGCAAATTTCCAATTTGATTACATCGGACCGGTGACCAAGGCGGAGTTTAACCGCGAGTTCTATTCACAGGGGAACAGAATAATTTCGGGAAATAATTCGGGTAAATCGTGACTTAGCTGACAGATTAATTTCTGTTTCCAGATCGTGGCACGGGATTTCTTCAATTATGCCACGCTATCCGCGAGCAGATCGTTCTAACGATATAGAAGGAAAACTCCCTTTCGAGTGCTCGCTTTCATCAATTTTTACTCTGTCATCATTATGCATTATGCATTCGCGAATTAGACTTTTTAATCGTTTATATTTTTCTCTCTTTCGTATTTTTATGGTTCCTTCGTTTCGCTTATCAGTTAATGCGATCATTTGCTGGTAAATTGAGAATGCTGATCGTGACGCGAAGCCTTATTAATTGAGGAAAATTTAATATTTCATTTCTCACGATCTTATCCGAATCCGTGATTTCTACCACTCTCAATCATAACCTGCTGCTGAAATAATGATGCCGACACATCAGTTAGATGATCATACAAGCACAGATAATAATCCATCCCTAAACCAACGATTATTCTCATTCTTAAAAGGAAGAGAAGGGTATCAAGTCTCATCTTTTAAAACAACTACACACCTCCGACTCCATTGATAATCTGTATAATTCATATATCTGCAAGTAATTCGTGATTCATTCTCGTTAGAATTTTAAGAACTACTTATCTTACGGCCATAAATATTTCACGAGCCACCGTGCTCTTTTTCTCGGCGAGAAAACAGAAAGACCCAGGCATATTTCAAAGCTGTTCCAGCGTGTCAGAGCGGCGCGTCGCGGCGTAAAAGTGACAAACGCGGAATATATTTAATCGTGCAACGTATCGACGCGAAAACTTGGGAAATTTACGAAGTTCGAACGGGAACTCGAAATAGTGGCGTACGTGTCGCGGTGTGCACGTTCGCCGTGCAGACTAATAAAGAATTAAATAAAACAAATAACGCTGAACGGGTGGGAGCCGGGAACGACGAGGTTTTCGCATCAGAAAGCTGCCGCGACCAAGAGCCGGCTGAATCTAGGCGAAAACGAAACTCGTAAAGTTTTACGATCCGACGCGAGTTTCGCCCCGTCCGCGAAAAAGGGAAAGCTTTATTCGCGAGGAACGTATGAAGTCGCAATTTCGAGAGAAAGGTGCTGAAAATATCAAAGGGTACGGGGATAGGAGATAATTTGCTCCCTTTAAGAGCTTTGCCTCCGGTGAATACCAAACTGTGCACCTGGACCCGTGTAC